AGACTTAGGGCATATGAGAACCTGTACTGTAACATCATGTAACTCAGTTGTGTCCCAAATTTTCTGATCAAGGAGATTATGGGGCCAAAGAAGAAAGTGATTGATGATGTAGAGTGTGCCTAAGGAGAGTCACATGGAGAGAAAACATTCTCTCAGGCTTTCACAGAGAGCACATTGGCCAAGCAATGGCCGTAACTCATCCACATGGCTGACATTGACAAAGGATCTACAAACTGAGGTACAGGGTCTCAGGATAAATCCTGAGGGGATTTAACTGACCTTATCAGATCCAAAAGCTAAAATTCTTTTACATAGGTCTTGCTTTATCTTGGGTTTAACCATCCAGCAGAAAAGTATAAAAACAAAGTATAAAAAGTAAAGCCATGTTCTTATGTTGAGCTGCAGGGGACACAGGTCAACAACTTCTGACATTGCCAGTCAAGCAGAAGACCCAATACTATTATGGACTACTGGACTATTTTGAAATATTTTGCTGAGTTCACACACCCATAATATTTAAATGATGGAACTAAATGAAAAAAGGGGATACAGATGAATAACCATTTTGTATCTGTGTATTCAAAATAGTTAGGATAGATATATAGCTACATTCTCTTATTTCAGTGAATAGAGGGATTTGTTCTAATAGTGTTTGTAAATAGGATATCATGTCTGCATCTTGTACAACAAACAACCACTAGGAAGGCAGTATGCAATGTGTTAATTATTGAAACTGTCCTACCAATTTGATTTGAAACTGTCTCATTGATATTTATTTCTCAATAAAATTATGAAAAAAAACACCAAAGAAGGTGGTAGAAAGCACAGCTAGAATAGGGAACAAGGTCTGGAACCCAGCAATTTCAGAGATGACTTTTGAGGTCTGCACAGTCCTACAGATAACCCACTATGACTACCAGACTATATTGAATTATTTTGCTGAATTCATGCACCTATAATATTTAAATGGCAATGGAATACCCATCTCTGACAAAACTAAATGAAAAAAGGGGGATATAAATGAAGGACCATTTTGTCTCTGTATATACAAAATAGGTTAGATATACAACTACTTTCTCTTAATTCAGTGAGAAGCAAGATTTGTACTAATAGTGTATGGACAGGATATCATGTCTGCATCTTACTATGAATAAGTACTATGAAGACAACAATATGTAATGTATTAATTATTGTAACTGTCCTACTATCCTGTTTTGAAAGTGTCTTATTACTATTTGTTTCTCAATAAAATTAATTAAAAAATGGAGATCTTTTCAAGGGTACAGACAGATGTAAAAAAATTCAACAAGCATGGTTTAGAATAGAAACAAGCAATCACAGGAACCATAAGCCTGTAGGATGCTATACTTCTGTGACAGCCATAGCTGTGGAAAGGAGCACCCAGAAAGTTGTATGGCGGAGGGAAATGCAACCACTGCAAAAGCCATGACTTGCCAGAGGACACAGTGGGGTACATAGGTGGACCTGTCTTTATTCCTTCCCTCTAATCTGTTAGCATTTCCTGTCAGCCAAATCCAAGTGGGAGCCAGAGTAGTACAGGTAGGGTATTAGGGGCTAAAGAATTCACTCTCCTTCACCCACTTGAGCTCAGAGGTAACCTTAGGAGCATTCTGAATAACCCCAGACCAAAGTACACTCAAGCTCTGTATTCCTCACTTGCTGTTGGGCCCAAGGGCATGATTCATCTGCAAGCGTGCATTGTTCCTTTTCTGTCTTCCATTTTTCTTTCCTGACCATCAAATAAACGTAACTGCTGTCCCCTTACCATCTTGTGTATGCTTCACAAGTTATTGCTTGCCAGACACAGAGACCAAAATTTATCTGTTGGATCCACTATGTGGCAACAAGAGGACAGAAAAGGCTGTCAGCTTCAGCCTCTGGGGGCACAGCAAGGCAAAGAGTGGAGAATGGAGGACTTTGGAAATTTAAAACACGGTCTGCTTATCCAATAAAGCAACCCACTATGTACAGCTTATTAGTACCTTGCTCAAGAACACCAGACTTCTTTTTTTTTTTTTTTTTGGTGGAACCGGGGATTGAACTCAGACCTTGAGCTTGCCAGGGAAGCACTTATTCTACTGAGTCATCTCCCTGGCCCCAAAAACATCAGACTTCCTGAGCACCCGAAGAAACACACTATGACCATGTGCAAGCTCAGTAGATAGTGAGCTTCCAGGGCATCCATCTGTGGCTCAGCTCACATGGATGGGTTTGCACACACACACACACACACACACACACACACACACACACACAATGTCCTTACTCTATAGTCAGTGTTTCTCTCAGGGACTATGAAAATTTCTGTCCACCCATACATGTTTCTAGCATCACAAATATTAGGAAGGCCATTCTATCCAATTCGAAGTGCTCCGCTGCCCCCATACACATATCAGGAACTCAGCACAGCTGAGAGTCTGGTTAAGTACTTTGGTGACAAACTGCTCACTGTCTCCTAAGAGAAACTTCAATTACTGAAGAAATGTTTTTAGAAAGTTGGTAACACTGGGCCACAACAATATTCACTGAAAAATTTCTTCTAAGTAATGGATTCTACCAAACTTAGGTCCTTAATGGACAACTGTATGTTTTAAAACTGGAATTTTCTCTCTGATGCACACATTAGAGACAATTCAACCCTGTCTGTATGCATCACTATGTCTCATTTTCCTCAGGTGTTTTGCTAAGTGGGGCCTAGAATCCCAGAGATTCTTATTCGCTACTGCTGCTACAGAGCAAAATCAACTCAAGAGCAGAGTGAAACACTGGGTCACTGGGAGAAGACAGATAAGAATTACACATTCTTAGGCACAAGAACAATGGCTGTGTCATTGATTATCTAGTAAACTTTGCAGAAGAAGAGAAACAGTATCATAAAATGGGAATATTATACAGGAATGTAGTGCTCAAGAACAAAGCCTAAAATACTGGAAGATCTGGTGACAGTTTCTGTGTAATCCAGTGAACTTACCTTTGCCCTCCTGCCCTGTGCTGAGTGTCCTGGGAAGCTTCTCCCTGTGAACTGTATCACAATCCTCTGGTTTCTGTTGTGGTATGAGTAGCCATTGGAGAGCTCCAGGCAGATCAGAGAGGAGGAGGGAAAGGTTGGAATATATATTCCCCTTCCAGTCTTTCTTGGTGCACTCACTGCAAGCTGGCTGCACCGCTCCACAAAGCCTGTGTGAGACTATATTTGTCCCGAAGTTCTCTCTGGGGAGGGACAGGCTGGAAGAACTTATCATCTCCCCCTGAGGCTAAGGGAGCTGCAGAATCCTTGGGCCTTCTCATACCCTATCAGAAACTTCGTGTGCCCGGAGTCCTATTTGTTGTTAAATTACTCAACTGGAATGTCACATCTTTTTCCTGCCAGGACCTTGATCACATCTAGTTCCAGAAATCTTGAAAATGAAGGTTTATTGACAATGACTACATGCAGTTCAACTCTTAATGCCTTCAAGGCAGTCTGGGGGGTGGAGATGACCACAGAAATAGATCATTACCATCCTTTTTTTTTGTGTGTATTTAGTACAGGATCTGCAGGGTCTCACTACACTAGACTTTGTAGTGATCCTCCTGTTTTCAGCTTCCCAAGCACTGGGATTACAGTAGAGCACCACCACGCCCAGTCTCAATTGCTGTCTCATCATGCCTCTGGGGTGGCACAAGACTAAGCAGGTGCTTTAGTCTGCTGAGCTATGTGGTGAACCCTACCATTCATCTTGATAAGTGTTCCAAGGGGATGGTGTGAAGTAGAGGTCTGTAGTAAGGGGAGACTCAGGGAGTTTTTGGCTAAGGTGAGGTCAGGCAGACAGGAATGGTCAGGGGTTTTGACATTCAAGAGGCCCCCACAGCCAAGGACTTCCGGAGCACTTAGGGTTTCGTAAGGGATTAGAAGAGCAAAGGGCTAGGCTGTGGCAGGCCGCAGGAAAGGCAGTGCTACTGGGAAGGCAACCTTCTCTATTTGCTTACTCTCCCTGTCAAAGAGAAAATAATGACACAGGCAAAGTCTGCAACCTGTGGGTCGAGGCTATAGCTCAGTGGTGTAAGTGCCTGTGTGGCAAGTGCAAGGTCCTGAGTTTGATCCCTGGTACTGCCAAAAAAAAAAAAAAAGCAAAGTCTGCAGCCTATCCCTGTCAACCCTCTACTCCTGCCCCACTCCCAGGGCACTGGACTTCTTTGTCGGCTCTGAAAGTCATCCCCCTCCTTTTCCTGCACGTTTTAGCGGCTTGAAGGGTTCAAAAAAACATGATAAAATAGTCCCTTGGAGATAAGGGGTAGAAGTGATGCTCCCAGATGCATTCATGAAGCCTTGGAAGCCAGAACCCTGTTTCTCTGATAGCAACATTAATGCTAACAACATTCTTGTCCACACAGAGGGTCACAAGCAGTGAGACAGCTTCACACTTCACTAGCATTAAATTTTAACTTATAGGTTTGGGAAGGGTTTTTTTTTTTTTTTTTTTTTTTTTTTTGTGGTGCTGGGAAAGAATCCAGGTCTTTGCACATGCTAGACAAGTACTCAACCACAGATGGACAGTTTTAAGATTTTTTTGGCCTTTTTTTCTGGGACCAGGGATCGAACTCAGGACCTTGCCATTGCCAAGCAAGCACTTATTCCACTGAGCTATCTTCCTGGCCCCCAAGACAGTTTTAAAATACATCTTATCATGCCCTGTAAGCAAGGCCAGGGGCCAGGGGCCTGCTTTCTTTCTCCATAACGAATTCCAAGTGGTTTCCTTAAGAGATGAAGCGGAGCCCACTGCTGCCCACACCACCGGAGGTTACTCTGTGACCCTTCCTTGGCGTCAGAGCCAGTCTTCTGGGTTTAGGAGGCTTTTAATTTAAAACACAGAACTCCATCCAACTAAGAGTGTGCCACACTGCTCCCGCCACAAATGAGGAAGAGAGTCAGGAAGAGTTACAACAAAGTGGTGGGCATGAAATCCTCAGCGAGCTCTCTGTGGACTAACCGGATCAGTCACTCGAGCCCTCCGCGAGCTCCCAGGCTGGGCCAGAGGGCGGCCCGCGCCGCGCGATCCGGGGTGGGGCCCCTGGCAGGGCCGGCCCCCACCCCAGAGGTCCCAGCCCCCGGGAGGGCTCCTCCCCGCAGGTGGAGACCGAGCAGACTAGTAGCCACCCGGGCCGCCCAGCCTCGCCGAACTCCGAGGCTTCCGCGGCGCGGAGTATGGGGCACTGATGGCCATGGACGGCTACAAGGGCTTCCTGGGGCTCCTGGTGTCGGCGCTGCTCGTCGGCTTTCTGTCGGTGATCTTCACGCTCGTCTGGGTCCTGCACTACCGGGAGGGGCTCGGCTGGGACGGGACCGCGCTCCAGTTTAACTGGCATCCGGTGCTCACGGTGACCGGCTTCGTCTTCATCCAAGGGCTAGGTAACCGGGCAGCCGGGGCGCGGGCCGGGCTTGGGGCGCGGGGTGACAGTCGCCCAGCACCGAGAGTGGGTGCAGCGGGGGGGGGGGGACTTGCGGGCCTCTGCCGCTGAAGGTGGCCGTGGAGACCGGGCCTGCACAGTCAGGGGTGCAGAATCCCCTTGGGCGTCTGCCGGCTGAGAGAGGATGCCGGGAAGGGGTCGGGAGGGGTGCCTGGGGTGTGGGGAGGAAAACCGGCCTCCCCGCCTACGGCCCTCGGCCCAGGGCGGCTGGTGGCCGGCGAGTGGAGCATCCTCCCGGGTCTCACTCCGCCCACAGCGTAAGCACTTAGTGGAGCCCAGGGGCTGCCCGCGCAGAGGGGAGCTCCGCTGCCCTGCAGACACTGCTTGATCTTGGGCTCAACTTGTTTATGTGGCGGCCCACGGGCGAAAGTTTCCCTGCTGGGCTTCCTGTTGGGCTGCAGCCCCGGGCTGTGAGCGATGCCACCACCACGCGTGGCATCCCGGGCTTGGCTGCGGCTGGTGTGGCTCGCGGGGGGCCTCTTTCTTCCGGTTGAGGCCCACGCAGAGGACCCTCAGTCGGTGGCAGTGTTTTGTCTTGGTCTGTAGCTTCTCTTATGTAAGGTCCTGGAAGTTTCCTTTGGAAACTTTTTTACTTGGCTGTAGGAACTTCGAGCTGCTGGCGCCAGGAGCATTTGTTTGGAACCACCTTCCCCAAAGCGAAGTCCAGGCGGTGGCTTTGGGACCTCATTTAGGAGAAGGAAGTGGTGTACTGGGGCTCTCACGGAGAATAACACAGAGGTGTGGAATGGGCTCTGAGGGTTGGAACGGGCTCCGAAAGACGTCCCCACCTGTTGATGCCAGGCTGGTCTCTGAGCAGGATGCCTTTTCTTCACCGGTATTAACTTCCTGAAAGCGAGCAAACAATAAAATACCGACCTCATTTCTAAAAGAAAATGCTAGTCTTCTGTCTTTCCGCTTTTAATCTATGCTACAATAGTCTGCATGAGAGTGGCCCAAATTCTTCCACTGTGGCATATAGTGGTGGGTGTTACCAACGCACAACCCTAGGAGATGGTGTGAGACAGTCAGGAAACATCACGGCCGTCTGAGTCACCGCGTTGCATAATTCCCAGCTCTTTTACCGCTACACTACGATGAGAAAAACATCCTCAACTTCACTCTCATCGGAAACACTCTTTCCTTCATGTCGGAGGCCTTCAGACTAGCCAGAGCTGTCAACACCTTCTGTTTACTCAAAGTAGTCCAAATGCTCGTTCGTCTCTTCCATCTTCCTCCTAGAACACTCCTAATAACCAAGAAACTTCAGAGGCTTGGAATGTGCTCCTGTAAGTGAGGTGGCAGCATGTGTCATCTGACTTAGCAAAAATGAGACAAAGTCACAAAGGGGATAAACGGACTCTGTGCCTACCAGGCACACTGTGTAAGAATAAACTGAGGGGCCGGGGAGCTAGCTCAGTGGAATAAGTGTTTTCCTGGCAAGCGCAAGGTCCTGAGTTCAATCACTGATACTGCAAAAATAAAAAGGATAAACCGAGGCACAGAAGGTAACTTACCCATGGGAACAAGGGAAGCCCCTTTTTCTCTTTGTTTCTTTCTCTTTCTTTCCTTTTTTCTTTCTTTCTTTTTTCCTTCTTTCTTCTTTTTTTGGTACCGGGAATCAAACTCAGGACGTCATGCTTGCCAGGCAGCTACTGTGCCACTGAGCTACATTCCTAGTCATTTAAGTCTTTTTAGTTACTTTATTTGCAAGGATTATTTCTAGAGCTTTTATAATAATATGATTATTTTCTGCAGTCTTCTCTTTAGGGAAGCCTAAAATAGCTTCATCTGAAAAAAATTTTTTTGAAAGTCTTCATTCATATTAGAATCCACTACATAGTTTTTCTAAAAGATTTTTTTTAATCTCTCTAAACTTCGGATTTCTTATAATCTGAGCATAAATGTGTAAGTGGATACTTTGGACATTTTCATCTGTTCCTGTTATGCAAACCTTGTGTTTTCTTAAAGACTTAGTCACTATATTTGTGTTCATGTTCCAAGGTTTCTCCTGTCAGCATGAACCTTCCTGTTTACTACTTGGATCGCATTTTAGCAAAACATTTTAATCATATAACATGTTTAATTGACATGAACATAAACTTTTTTGTACATACAGATGTATGCATCCTGGTTCTTCCCGTATATTGCGCACACCCCTCAACCCAAGCAGGAGGAAGGTGCGGGAGAGAGGAGGGAGAGTCAGGACAGATGCCTTTTGGTTTGTAGTGAGGTTGCATACCAAATAAAGCCATTGCATGTTGAACATACAGTCACTGCAAAGTGCACCTGGCACACCTGACCCACCCAGCATCCTGACCGGCTAGCCCAGTACACCATAGAGAATCAGGTTGTTACCATGGTGATGGCCTTGCCAACTGGAGCTGTGGCTCCCGGGCACTGCCCACCATATGGGGAGAGTATCACACCACATATCACTAGCCTGAGAAAAGATTAGAATTCAAAATTTGAAGTTTCTACCTGATACATGTGACTGTCATAGCAATGTAAAGTTAAAGACTTGCTAAATGGAACCATCTTAATTTGGAGACTATCTGTAGTTGGCTTTATGTGAGGGAAATACACATTACAGACTAGCCAAGCTATGCAGGCTGTGTGTTTGTGTGTGTGTGTTAGCTTTTTTTTTTTTAATGTTTTATTTTTTATTTTTTTAATTTATTTGTGTGTGTGTGTGTGTGTGTGTGTGGCCAGCTCAGCCCACCAGGGGGCGGGGTTGGCTGGCATGTGGTGCTGGGGGATTGAACCGTGGTCCCTGTGCTTTGCTAAGCTTGTTCTAAGTAGGTGCTTTAGACCACTGAGCCATCTCACCAGCCCCTGCGTTAGCTTAAGGGAAGAAATTTCAAGGCTATGAGATTTAAATTTCTAACACTGAATGTGATATAATAGAGCTTTTCTGTAATATACAAATATTTGGAGATGAGGAAGGGAAAGTTAGAGTGCAGCTGTTCAATGGATTAAAGCACCTGGAAGTAGGTGCAGGGGCCAGAGGTTCGATCCCTGGGACTGCCATGCCAGTCCCACCCCCAGGGCACACTGAGATGGCAACTGAGACTGGGCATGGTGGCGCACACCTATAATCCCAGCTCTTGGGAGGCTATAAACAGGTGGATCACTGCGAGTCCGATCTAGTAGTGAGACCCTGAACACTCTTTAGACCTTTCCCTAAAATTAAAAAAAAAAGTAGCTATTATTTAAAGCGTAGAATGCTTTATAAATACAATATACAAACATAGACAACATATGAAACTAGATTAAATATGACTGAAACCTTTAAGAAGGCCCCATGAAAGCAAGGTTAATATAGAAATTACAAAATCAACCTCACTCTCTTCTTTACACACACACACACGCACACATGCCCTTCAAGTATATTTTGGGAAACGTATGTACTCTAAAATAAAGTATGGCCGATTATGGGAACTCTAAAACAAAAGTTTGGGGCTGAATTCTTGCTTTGTTGCTATGCTGGACTTGAACTCCTGGGTTCTAGTACTCCTTCTGCCTCAGCCTCCCAAGTACCGGTACTACGGACCCAACCAAGCCTCACCAAATAAATGGTAAACTAGTGGGCTATCTACCTAACAGATTCTGACATGAATGAGGAAGAGTTTAGAAGAGGCTTTGTGCTGGTCTAAATGGAATACGTCCCATGAAATAAACACTTAACTGTCAGGAAATCAGAGAAACAACCCTTGTAAAGAAAGCCACAGAAAAGACTGAAACAAATAAATGCTCTCTGAGTGGCTGTTGGCCTTTTACAAGATTCAACAAGGTAGAGTGTGTTCTTTAGTACAATGCCGAAAATTCGGATGTCTACATTTAGCGAAAAGCAGTCTTGGCAACCCTATGCTCTCTACTTTCCCACAATTAGAGTTCCTTTTGTGTTACAAACTAAAGAAAGAGAAAATAAATAGTTTAATGTTCTCAAGTGGGCTTGGTGAGAGAATGTAACTACATTTTAGTAACATCTAAAAAAAACCCAGAAAAAAATTAAGGGTAGTTTTTTTGTTTTTTTTTTTTTTCTTTAATGGGAGAAAACACAGGTTTATTTAGCATAGGTGGATGATCCCTAGACAGTTGCCTGTCAGGAGTATCAACTAGGATGATAGGAACACAGTACCTTTTATAGAATCTGGTCCAGTTGTTAACAATACACTTTCTAAATATAGCACAAATTCACCTGAATGGTAGTGTACAGTTTATCTAATCACATGGTATTAGTCATAGTTGTGGAGTAGGTACCACATTTTTTGGAGCATCATTTATCAGAAATAGAGTTGCCTACAGGCAGTTCTTAAAGGTGGTTGCAGTATCCTATTTATGCATCTCAAAGTAACCCATTCCAAGAATATTTAAATATATTTGAAAAGGCTCTGGGGCTGGAACCTGGCAAAGAAAATAATGAAGAAAGTGCTCCAAAGAGCTGCTCCACCAGTTTTGAGGGAAAACTAAGCCTTGATAACGAAACCTATCAATCTTAGAGAAGTGTTTTTTTTTCTTTAATTTTTATTTTAAAGAGTAAAAACGAATAGCAGAAACAATAATAAATGCAGTTCAAATGGTACAGAATTTCAAAACAAGAATAAAAATTTAACAGTGGTTGTAGTATTATATATTTTCATCGTAAAAATCTGTTATTCAGATTAATAGGAGGAGTCTGGGGAAATAGCTCAGTGATCTAAGTACCTGCCTGGTAAGTGCAAGGAATCAGATTTGATCACCAGTACTGCATGCTATACCAGCCCCTGAACCCTGGGTCCACTGTGCAGGCCCCTGAAACCAGTCGTGGTGGCACACACCTGTAATCCCAGCACTGGGGAGGCTGAGGTAGGAGAATCACTACGCATCACTACAGGAGACCCTGTACCAAATAAATGAAAAAAAAATAATAATAAAAAAACCCCAAAGAACAGATTAATAGGA